CGGCCACGGTGGGATTCGAACCTACGACCTTTGGAATACTAGCCCAATGCTCTTCCAACTGAGCTACGCGGTCAGGACGGTTCGAGTAAATATCACTTACTCGAACTGTCCTGACCGCGTAGCTCAGTTGGAAGAGCATTGGGCTGGTATTCCAAAGGTCGTAGGTTTGAATCCCACCGTGGCCGGGCATATTTTTCAAGCTCGCCCGGTGTGGATATACCCAAAATTAATTGTTACAAATACTCACTATTTGTAAGGATTATCAGTGACTGGAACAGTTTGCCATGCTCGGTTGTAGAAGTAAATAACATTAGAGAATTTAAAAGAGAACTGAAGTCGAACATGGACATGTACTTGTAATTTAACATTTAGGTATTTTAACTTAGTAATAGCATAGTTGCCCGGGTTTCTTTTGTTTCAACAGGGACGTTTAATCACGTATCGCCCGCTGTAGCGGGCGATTAGTTCTAATCGCCCGCTGTAGCGGGCGATTAGAACTAATCGCCCGTTACCAAGGGTCACACCTTTGTCTCCCTGACGACTACGCATTAGGCAAGTGCCTCACGCACATAATCGTGCAAGGAACAGCAACAGTTAGCTCAGAGCCGTCAATAGTCTATCCTCCGATCCCTGAGTTGCCGCATCATTTAAATTACGCACGTGCAGTCTCCAAATTTATACTAATATATTTAGCGTGTTTGTTGTGGTACGTTAAATGATAGATTGCGCATGCGTAACTGATTAAAGCGTAAAAAGTGCGCATGTGCAACAAGCTTTTACATCCCACAAGCAATGAAGCAAATGTTTTAGCTTAAATACGCTGATTCCAAGTAGGGCATGTTTGTCCATTTTTTAATGGGAGCGAAACTATGCTATTACAAACTAATAGCATGGCTTTTCGGGAGATTAGTGATTAAATGACCCCTTACCCTCGGCAGGTTTGCGGAATTCCCTCGGGCTTCGCCCTCGGGAATTCCGCAAACCTGCCTCGGGTTACGGGCCATTTAATCGCTAATCTCCCTCAAGCCATGCTATTACTTATAATAATAGGTAAAGGTGATCTTTATATAGGGTTAACCTCCAGATCTCCTGCAAGGGCCTCAATATTATTGTAGGTACTTTGAATAAATTATTGATTGATTGATTGATTGATTTTTGAACGTACTTTTTTATTATTTTATTTAAATTTACCGGTCACGCATGTCCGCCAGGCGACAATATTTCCCGGTCAAACTGTGAAATTTTACCGGTCAGTGACCCGGTGACCAGCACTTATTTTGAGGCCTGATTTCAAAAACAAGTATATTTAGCATAAATTTTGGAGCAAATTTGAATGCTCAGAATGCAGGAAATGGCATTTCCATGCTTCAAATTCTTGCATGCTTCAAATTTCAAACATTTTCTGGGGAGTATGCCCCAGACCCCCCTATTCATGCGTGGTATGTCGGCCACACATGTGGCCTTTAGCCGTTCCTATAATCCCCCTCTAATATATTATCTCACAGAAAGGTCCCTTTTCAAAAATCCCCCCCCCCCACGGGAAAATCCTTAGAAAAGGCCCTGGTACCGATATACTAAATCTAACCAAAGTCAGAACTACACTGTACCACATATGGATTAAAATCCTTTAAGTATCAGGCTGTAAAATATTCATTTGGAATTCCTTACCAGATTATATTGGAACATTAACCCATTAAGCGCCAGAGTAAGATACTAAAGTAGGGTGCATCAGGGTGCAATGCGACTCAATGGGTTAACTAGACACATGGGCATATAAGCCAGTTAACCCATTAAGCGCCAGCGCTCTCCCCTTGACGAGTAAAATCGTCTGGCGTTAGACAGAGTAAAATACTAAAGTAGGGTGCATCAGGGTGCAATGCGACTCAATGGGTTAATTACGTAATTTGGTAGAATTTAAGAGAGCTATCTCTAAAATTCATTTTGATTAATAATATTTAGTAATAAGCGCTTGCATGTAAATATTCTATGTATGTTTTGTATTTACTCGAAGATATTAGCTATAATTTTGTAAATTCGAGTTTAAATAAAGTTTATGTATGTGTGTATGAATGTATGTATGCTCAATTTTTTAGTTACGTTCCTCAAATTTGGTACATGCAATGATAACTAACTGTAGAAGCTACTATTTTAGCCAACATTCATCACCTTTTAGCCTGTAGTCGCAAAACTAATTTAATTTGACTTTTTTCAGAATTCATAATACTCATTGTGTGACTTGTGAGATTATAAATTTACAATACTTTAGCTTGTTTTTATTAAAACTTGCCATTTCGTTGCTGTTGCTGTTGTTATTGTTATTCAAAATGAAATCTAG